TTGGATTCTGACACTCACTTCGACTTTCAGTTTTTGATTATTAAACGACACAAAACAATCAGTCCTTGTTGTTCGTAATCACCCGGGACCTGGATGATGAGTCACTGAACCCTGTTTAAATAAAGTCTGACCATGAAGTGTGAGTTGTGAGGTCACATTTTATTAACACAAAAGTGTAAGTAACATTGGTGCAGTTTAAAAAAAACAACTGATTATTAACCATAACTTGCACCTTACTTTGAGTTAACAGTCCCAACGTGTCCTTTGTTAATCTTATTTAATTTGCTAATCATAAATTAAATACCACAAGTGGAATTCTGGGTAATTTCGTTGTACTGTAAGATGACCTTTTATTCAGCATCATACACAAAACACCTAACTAGCTGACCAGTCAGGAACAATCAAATCAAATCAAACAAAACAATGGCCATCAGCTGCACCAGAACACGACTGCATACTGGTGTCCAAGGACAAGATCAGCTCAGCCTGTGTTGTATTTGTATGTGTAGATGTTTGTATGTTTTCTGAGGAGATTCAACCTCAGAGGATGAGACGCAGCCTGTTCTCATTTAAACATAATGGTGGTTTAGAGAGACAGTTGATGAGGAGATTTAACAATTGGCCGTGACCATTGCTGTGAGCAGGAACCATGCAGGGCGCTGCACAGATGTGCAGCTGGCACTAGGACAGCGCACTAGGACACCCCCCCTCTCCCCCCCGTCAACTACATAAAACCCCAACCCCTTGCTAAGACCACAACAATGACGATGCACTGGATCTCATTATGTTACTCCGTTCAGCTGCTTGAACCACAGCCAGTCCATGAGACTTTGATAGGTTTGTACGTAAGCGAAGATGGTGAAAAAAAAATCTTGTACTTTATTTGATGAAACTAAAGCAACTACAAAAGCATCAAACACTCTTGTGCTAGAGTTTTCAATTACTGAATGCAGATGCTAGCAATCAGCACGTATTTGTAGTCGCTCATTTAAGAATTGACTTTGTTAAGAGCCTTTCTGCATAATCACCCTGAGCTTCCAAAAGTACTACTCGCCTTTCCAGAAAAACGTGGCAAGCGATGCAATAAAAACCCTCTAGCTGTCAGTGAGGGAGAGATTTCAGGAGGACTGTGTGGGCTGGACCTATGGGAGGTTTAGTGCTAACTCAGGCAGAACATATGCTGTAGTGTTGACCAGGCATTAAATACAGGAGCAGAACCAGGAAAGTGGAGTTCTTTACGTCCTCATTTCAATAGATTGATTCCTTAATCTAGGAAACAACATGAAACAGGAGGATGGAGAAGGGGACTGCCTAGTTTATTATTGCTAGAAATCTACTATGTTCTTCTTCAACGGTTCTGATCCACACAATTTTGATCGCTTTGAATTTTTTATATTAAAGTGATCAGAAAGTACTCAAATAAGTTCTTGACAATAATACAAGGAGTATATCATGCTTTGTAAAAAACAAACTCTACTGTTGCTGAATTGAAACAGTAATAGTATTCATGTTGGATTTCAGTTTTTATCAGTTGTAAACAAATGGTGTGAGCTTCCTAAATAACCCTGTATTAAATTACCTGAGAAATACTTTTGGGTTTATTTTGCACAGCTACAAATATCTGTCATGAAAACGACCATTTCTGGCATTTTAAAGCTGAAATCAAATTGTGATTCTATATTTTTATTAGCACATAAAGCTTGACTTAGAACATTTTTACGATATAATCAATTATTTATTTGGTGCTTCAGAGAGATTTCCCTTTATTAAAGTTGCATGTAGATGCAAAGAATAGCACGGAGGTGAACGTCGTCGATCACAGACACAGCTACATAGAAACAGAGAAGAAGAGAGTAGAAAGCAGCGTTGCCATTTTTGGACAATGTCCTTGACCGGAGAGAAACCTGGTCCCTTCAAATATGAATCTATATCTTACCATTTTATTAGGTTGTGTCGGGTCTATAATTAAAAATGGCCGTACCCTGTTTTTCATGACTCGGCTCCAAACCAAACACAGAGGGAAATATCCAGAATAAACCCCAGTCTGTGGCTCGTGGACATCAGTCGACCTTGACTGGAAATGATACCCACTATTCCTAACCCATGACATCCTACTCTCTCTGCCTGGATTTTACAAGACATCCATCATTCACATCCCTAGTAAACTATTTATGCATTTTACAACTGAGAAGTTGTTAGATGCATTAAACATAAAGTACAACATAGACTGTTTCTGTAGTTGTCTGCAGTTTTCTTCTGTCTGCAGTGGTTAATCCACATTGTGCCACTATTTCTGAGTGGAGCTCTTTTGGACGTGCACTGTCACTGAATCACTGGCATCCTTTTTGAAGTGAGTCATATTACCTCAGCATATTAGCTCAGCTGTTAAATCTGACATAAACCCAAACAGCCCCACTTGTCATCAGCACCAGTTACTTAAATTTGTGCCATTATTCCACATGGAAGGCATGTGGAATAATGTTTACAGATGATCACAATCTGGGCTCTTCTTACTTTCTCTGTCTTTAATAAGCGACTAAATGAATTCAAAGGTAATGTGGGTTTGACATCTTGTTGCGTTTTTGGAGGCTTTTGAAGAGCACACGTCATCCTCAGCGCTGATGAGAGCTGAAATATTACAGGGGAATAAGTGCGGAGCTGAAAAGACAAACTCTCTTTGCCAAGACAGATGCTGTGACTCACCCAGTGGATGGAGTCATGATGCAGCCACCACGGTCCACTGTCACCCTGCAGCCACACCCCCTCTCTGGCGTGTCATGGTTCATTCCGAAGTTGTGTCCGAGCTCATGAGCCAGTGTAACTGCAGCCCCCAAGGGGTTGTCTGAATGGTCCTAAAGAAAACAGTGGTGCAGAAATTTAACCCATTTCATGTCATTTTTTAATCTTCCCTCAGTGACTCAGATATAAATTAAGTATATTTTTTAAGTTAAGGACATTGCTGCAAGCAGTGTTCTAAAATAAAATGTGTTGAGTTTGCACGTTGCAAGCAAACAATAGTTTATTAAAACCAGACATTTTAGATCATATACTGCAGAAAACAACAAATAAACATTTTGTTTTGGCCAAATAGTTGCTCCCCACAGGACTCGACACAAAAACATTACTCAGAATAGGTCGGGGTAATTACATAATGCCAAGATTACAAACAATGCAGGCGGATCTGTGCCTTCCACAGTTCAATGTTGTGGCACCGAGATGAGAAGTGAAAGAGCAGACTGTTTGCTGTCACCCTCAGCTTTGTTCTGCAAACTTTGACAGCACCAGATGTGTTGCTCCGTCCTCCTCAATCTCACAAATCAAAGTGTGAGCAGAAATATACAAATGGGTTGGGGAAAAAAAAGGACGGAGGAAAAAACGTTCAAAGCAAGTCACGAAATATATCACAAAGCCATTCAGGTGGAGTTGGCACCAGCTGAAAGGAGTGCGAAGGAGACAATGCGAGTGCACACAGAGTTAAAGCAAGTGCTGCTGACTAGGTTTATTTTTTTGCGAGGTGTATAAAACTTGAACACGAGTGGATAAATAATGTAGCGGCAGCTATCAGCCCTGCTTGGATGCAGAGTTGTGCGTCAGAGCACCGCGTCTCTGGAGTCGTCGTCACTTTGCATTATTCAGCAGTGCTGTGCAAGTCAACTTCAGACTGATGAACTGCTCTGCTGGGGGCTTTACAAAGTACCGGTCATTAGCTGTCAGCACTTGCTGTGATCCGACTACGTCGTCTGGGTTCATGGAAATTAAAAAAAAATAGGGAGCAAAAATAAAAAAATCCAGCACTTGATGGAAATGGAGTGCTCCCTCAGTGCAACTGTCTCCGTGTTGTTCCAATACACTTAAAACAAAGGGATGGTCAATAGGAAATCCAGATGGTCTTTAAATGGATGTTAAAGAAATAAGTGCATTAAAAAAACAACAATTAGACCCAGAGGGGAAGACAACTGATGACTTAAAAGGTCATTTGTAAACATAAGGCAACAGAGCCATGATTTTGTCCAGGACAGACGGTGTGTTTGGACACCGATCCACTGTCTGGGAGCTGACGTGCGTATGTGTGTGTGTGTCTGTGTGTGTGTGTGTGTGTGCATTCTGAGCTTTATGGTAATGACCAAGTTTCTACTTTCCCATCCGGGAGGCCAAGAGTGAAGAACCATCTGGGGACAAGCTGTAAACCTTACCACCAGTCAGGAAACAAGACAAACAACCACTCAGAGGCCAAGAGCACCGACTTTTACCAGGAACAGCTCTGATAGGACGTGATTTCAGTGCACACTTTGGGGTTACAACGCTGTTATGGCTGAGCTTTTTTTACGACGGGTATTTTTATTCAGGCTGTGCTATGCCGTGTGCCTAAATTCTCTCATTTGTTGCACCTCATTAGGAAGCAAAGGTTTCCACTCATGTAATCAATACACGCTCAAATTTATCAGCAGCGTGTAC